TAAAAAAATTCAATGGAGTTTGGATGGCACCCGGAGGCTGTTTGTGGTATGATGTCCTAAATAAAATGTCACAGGAACCTCCGTTTTTTTTCATATCAACTTAAAATGTAGAGATAAGGCTTTAATTTTATACCAATTTTAGAGTAAAACCTGTTATGTAAATTTTTATAATAAATAAAATAAAATTAATATAGTGCATTTTATTTACAGTACATTTAAACTTCTATAACTTTTTGATACTTTAATTTTTTGAAAAACAAAATCCACTTTTGCAATAATCTGCTGATTTTCTTCTTTGACCAACCTTAGACCTGTATTCCAAAGTGTTAATAAATTACAACAATTTAAGTTTGGATAGTGCACTTTCATGCTTTCAGGTTAAACTGGGCTGCATTTCCCAAAAGCATTGTAAGCCTATGAAAATCATAGAAATTATCATCCTTCGAATTTATTGTATCTTTACTTAAGTTAGGTTATAGTATCCTATGCTGAATTCAGAATTGCATACTAAGATACTACTATTTCTGCTATAACTTTATATTGAATAATAGTAATAGTTGAAATAATAATAGTGAAATAATAATAAGAGTAGAATGCCAGTGCTATTCTGAGCTCAGCTGACACATGCAGTCACTGAATAAATTCAGAATTGCCCACTAATATCAGCACCCTTGGTGTTTTGTAAAAACAACAAGATACTCGCGACATGCTGTATTGTGAAAAGAGGGTGCTTCTTATGATTTTGCCTGGTTTGTGTGGTGGTTAACACTGCCACCAGCACACCAGCAATGGCTTTTATGTCCCACAGAAGAAATAAATTCATACAAGTTTACAATAACTTGAGTAAATGATAACAGAATTTTCATTTCAGCTATTCCTTGGAATCTGCTTTGGAGCAGATTTATTATTTACTGTTTTTTTTTTCTTTTCTTTTCTTTATTAATTAGTTTTATGCACTGTTAGATTAAACCTAGCTGGTTTAAAAAATATTTAATCAGCCATATGGAGGACAGAGTGTAAGTCACACCATCCAGACTTTATAGAAAATGTCACTTTATTGACAATTTAATCCAGCAAAATAGAAATATCTTTTAAATAACATTTAACTGATAAACATGTCTTATACACCCTCACTAGGACAACAATCACAAGTGAAACTCCCAGTGCTGCAATGCGCTCTAGTGGTTACTTCACCCCAAACTGCATAATCCCCCTAAATGAAAGCTGTGATCACACACAAATCATTGCAAAACGTGGAAACAAATTAGCATTCCCCCATGCAGTTCGGCATGTACAAAATAATGTTTACACTAAAATTCAAGAACTATAACATTTATTCATACACACACACTCAAAGACAAAAATAATCAAAAAATAAAGCACTTCCACCTCAATGAAACAAGACCCTACCCTGGGGTCTAGGGGAAGAAGACAGCCTTGCCAGGTCTGTGTCTACAATAAACATCCTTCTCCAAAATCACGGTATATAGGCAGAGACAAAGGGGCCAAAGGGACATAAAGAACACCCTCTCAAACTATTTAAATTAAACTCCTTAAGGCATGTATGTGCAAAAGTTTTTGCTGTTTCTGGAAACCTGTTTGCTTTGACCTCATATCTGGTGTTAATGCATTTATGTTTTTAATGTTTTGTAGCCTGGAATATTTTTATACTATATAGAGAGAGATACCATACATTGTATATCTCTGTGTTATGCAAATTATCTTGGTTCTTGTATCTTGCTTTACGATTAATTTAAAATAAAAAAAAGACAAAATTATGATAGGCTATGTTCAGACTCATCATCAGTCATAGTAAGCTTAAGCTCTTTCCTATCGAACAGTCGACAAGACATATTATTTGAAGTCAATCAGTTACAAGAATAATAAACCAGGGAGGCCAGGTTGAATTCTTGCAGATCCTAGTGCATGTAGGAGTAAAGGGAAATGAGAGTGCGGATGAGGTGGCAAAAAAAAAAAAGCGTTAAAGAAAGCAAATGTAGAAATGCAAATAAGAATTAGTAAAGCAGAGATGAAATGCATAATCTGGGGGGGAAATCAACCAAATGTGATAAGAAAGGTGTGATGGAGAGGGGAAGGGGAGACATTTATATCATAAAAGAGTATCAGATGGAAACAGAAGAGTAAGTAGTATTGATATTAGTCATTAAGAATGGTGAGGAAACATCAGACAGGCTTGCTTGTGTGAGGACTGTCAGAAAGAGAAGACAGTGGAACATGTAAGAATAGCAGAAAATATGAAATACAGAGGGATATAATGAAAAATAATCTGAACAAATTAGGGGTACAGGAGATCACTTTAAAAGCAGCCCTGGAGCTAAATACGAGAGCACAGGTCAGAGAACTGGGCTCTTCTACAGTATATGGTTTATATAAAAGTATGATCCACACTCCTGAGCAGAAGGTGGCGGCAATGCACCAATAAGATAGATGCCAACGGCTGTTAAAAAAGGAGGAGAAGAAGAAGAAGACGAAGAAGAAGAAGAAGGAGAAGAAGAATTATATAGATCAACATTAACGAGCTCTCTACTGAATATGGGGTCATACAGACGAATAGATTGTATATTTTTTAGTGAATTTCATCCAACTTTAGGACCAAAGATCACATATCAGGTAACGTCATAGAAAATATTTGGGAGCAAAAGAGAATAAATGCAGTATGTTTGACCATAGATATGAAGTGGTATTGGTAAGAAAACTCCGTTAGGGATGCATGCAAGTTAACGTTAATGTTTATATGGTTATATACATACATGCATACAGTTACATACATATAGTTATATTCGTCATGAATTTTTTTTATGTTTGATCGAAGGTTCCTGAAGAATATATTTCGAGGGAACTTTTTGATACTGTGCAGGTGTACATCATCACCAAACCTGAACTGCAGAACAAGCTCATAACGGTGTACGTACAGGACTTTTTCCTCATCTTATTGCTGCATTGTCGTATTTGTATTTGCACTATAGTTATACAACTTATAGGCTTATACATGTGCGTTCAAAAATGCTTCCTTGTATGTATAGGCCTACACACACTCACACATTCGTACAACTGTATTGACATGTACAATACATACATGCATACATTTAAAAATCTTCATATCAAAGCAATGCAAACCAAAATGAAAAGCACATTGAAATGGCAGTCATCCCAATTTTCTCCAACTGAAGTCGTATAAATTCTTATTTGGTTCTTGATTTGCAATGGTATAGAAACAGTTACATAGATTTCAGTCTTGCAATATTTTTTTTTTTTACCTAAGTGATTAAATGGCTTTAGCTGTACCCATTGTAGATTTTTTTTTTTCTTTATTACTTCTTGGTTTGCATCTGTGATTTTTACAATTTGGTGTAAATAGACCTTTAGAGTTATTAATAATGACACTGTTGTGTTTTATCTGTGTAACTGATTAAGGACTGCCATGGAGAAGAAACTAATAGGTTGTCCAGTGTGCATTGAGCATAAGAAATACAGCCGGAATGCCTTGCTCTTCAATTTGGGTTTAGTCTGTGATGCCAGGACAAAAACATGTGCTTTAGAACCTATTGTCAAAAAACTGTCTGGCTACCTCACAACTCTGGAGGTAAACATTCATTTGATAAGTATTCATGTTATGGTATCTTAAAAATTGGCACTTATTAACTGTTTCATTAAATTTATTTGATTAGCTTGAGAGTGGATTCATTTCAAATGAGGAGAGTAAACAGAAGCTGTTGCCTATCCTGTCCACACTTCTGGAGGAACTTAATGTTACAGGAGCCTGCACCCTACCTATTGGTTATATATGCGTTTTCTATCTCTCTGTTTCCCCATCAGTGGATGTCATTGTTTTTATAATCACCCTTTCTCGCTCTTTCATGACAGATGACTCGAACACCATCCACTTGAAGCTAATTGAACAAAGGAAAGATCCTCTGGTGGTTCAGGAGTATGATGTACCAGTATTTACCAAGAATAAAGACCACTTTATAAAATCACAATGGGATCTCACCACACAGCAGGTCTCCAAAAAATGTTTCCCACCGTTTACTTTTACTGTCTTAAATTTATTTTATTTGTCTTTTTTATTATCAGATTTAAAAATAAATAAATAAATAAATAAACCCCTGCAGTTAGTAAGTCCAAAAAACGGAGGGGGAAAAAAACACAATGAAAAAAATGTACCTATTGTTTGAAATAGTTTTATTCAACTGGGAGCAAGTTACACACTGTGACACGACACAGCACGTTTTACCACAGTGTGACTGAAATGAGACGAACTGAACCGTTTATAACACTCTAATTGTAAAGAATTTAGAAGCAAATGTCCTTATGTAAATAAGATTTTGCGACAATTAAGTTTGTAAAACTTATTACCATCTTCTGTTAACCATTGTTTTTCTGATGTTACATTGATATTCCACTTACGCTTGTAGTTGAAACAGGTATAATGTGATTTTATTTGACATACTGCCTTCAAACATTAATTATGTTAACAGTAATTTTGCATTTATATTATTTTTCTTGAATATTTTAATTACTTTTTTTGCAGATCTTACCCTTTGTAGATGGGTATCGACACATTCAAAAAATCTCAGCTGAGGCCGATGTTGAGCTTAATTTGGTGCGGATTGCTGTTCAGAATTTATTGTAAGTATGACGTTCCTATTTTGAGCTGCTGCATTAATCTAAATAATTTATTAAAAGGAATATTCTGTGTTAAATACAGCTTAACCCTCTACCTCACTGGTTCTTCAGCACCCAGTTTTTATTCTGAAAAATGTATAATACTACACAAGTAAACAAAAAGTATTTAAAGCCACAGTGAAATGGAAATAGTGACGGATCTTATATTGTTTATTGTAACTTGTATGCAACTTGGTAGGGACTTGGTTCTATGCATTGGTTTTTGATTGGATTTTGAGATGTGGGCGTTGCACTCTAAAGCAGAGGCAGATGAACGTGCAGGGTTTAAGTGGACTAAATAGTTGGAGAAATCCTGCATTCATTATCAGTCTGTAGTTTTCACTGGAAGTTGGAACAATTTGATTAAACATTACAAGGTAATTTTTAAAAAATATAACATATGCATGGTTGAACTGTTCACAATCTGAATTCACATTTTCACATATGAGGCCTATATCATGAAGCCGGTTTAGCTGGCTAGCCAGGTAAGTTTCAGTTTAGTTTGTGCCTGGGTTTTAGGCACCATGAAAGTGGCTCTGTTCTTAGTGGTGTTCATTGCCATAGTAACTTACGCTCTATGGCTAAACTGCTCTGGTGCAGGTTATTTTCTGGGTAAGACTTTGCAAAACAAAATTTGACCAGTCAGCTGTGAGCAAAGTGATAAAGTAATTAAATAAAGTCACTCCCCAATTTCTCTTGCTCTTAAATTCTTCATAATTTTCAATCTCGTAATCTTTGGCAGAAGAGAGTGACTCTCTTGTGAAAAGTAAATTGCAGTTTGTGTGTTTCAAGGCATATGATTGGCTGTTTGCTAATGACGTCACTTTTCATGTGCATGCTCTCCGTGAACTCAGTATCAAAGCCTGAGTTGACAGAAGGTTGATGATCAGTGTCATGGTACGATCAAAGCCTGAGTGGATTGGTTTGGTTTTGTCAACTCAAAACTAATCCTGTAACTCTAAACTCAATTACCATCATGGTACAGTGCCCTGATGTTCTTATTATTATGGGAAATAGCAACCCTTGCAGCTCTACATTTGGAGAAAAGTCTAATGGTCAACAAGTGCCTTGATAACCAATCATATAATTGAAATGCATGACAGTTAGTTAGTCACAGCTGTGTCTCATTTTGAAGGCTGCACCTTCTAGATGTAGCATTTGTTGGCCACGTAAGTTATCAAGGCTGTCTCATTATAGAAAAGCAACCATCACATTCCATAGTAATGAATGAGACCCAGCTACTGTTTGCAGATATTATACAGTGCCATAAACTTAATTCTACCCGTTGCAAAATTGTCTGCAATTTCTCTTACAGAACAGCAACTTTTCGTTGTGAACTCCAAAACGAATGTCTAATGACAGACATGATAAAGATTAGATAACCGGCTGTGTGTACAGAATGTGTACACTACAACATGCCATAGATGCTAGATGACAGCTCAAGTTGTATGTAACCCACAATGTTATTGTTATTTTGATATACCTCCTGCTCCTGGCATAAGGTCTCAATCTCTTAATTGTTGACAAAAATGTATAGATACTATGATGAATTTATCAAAATCTAGAACCTTATTAAAATTTAAATAATGAAATGTTCTAAAACCATAAAAAGATAATTACAATAGTTACAATGATGCAGAAAGTACATATTTCATACATGTAATAGCAGCAAAGTGTGACAAGTCATGGACTGAACAATGCTATTACATTTCACAGGTATTATGAAGTGGTAACTCTGGTATCCATATTCCAGGTAAGTTTTCTGTTGTCGTTTCTTCAGAATTTTATTATACTTTTTCTTAAATTGCTTTTGGTTTTCATATTCTACAGTACTCAAATGTTTACTGCACAACACCTAAAGTACAAAACTTAATAGATAAGAAGTGCCTTCAGGAAGAGTGTATCCACTATGTCAGTAAGCTAGGTAAGCAAGTTCAGCAATTCCAAATGCATGTTTTTTCTGCAACATGTATGTATATGAGTGTGAGTAGATATAGAAGACATTTTACTGTGTATTTCACCAGGCCAAAGGACAAATCTCAGGGACGTATTCCAGTTGTATTGTGGTCTGACCCCAGGTACGACTGTACGTGACCTCTGTTCCCGCTATTCTCACCAGCTACAGAGGGTGGATGAAAGGCAAGGCCATTTGAATTTGATTGTTGTTCACACTTAAATCCCCACAATTGACATGCCATTTGTAAGACATGTCAATTGTTTGTGTGTGTGTGTTTAAACTACAGAAGGACAATACTGTAAAGATTAAGAAGAATGCTTTTGTGTCCTGTTGGCTTATTTGGCTATTGGTTAAGTACTAGTGTGATCTGTAAGAAGATAAATGTTCTATGTAAAATAATTATTCTACTTTTATCTTTTGTGTTGCTTTAGGAAGTTGATTCAGTTTGGCTTGATGAAAGGTCTGATTCGGCGCCTGCAGAAGTATCCAGTCAAGGTTGTTAGAGATGAGAGGAGTCGTCCACCTAGACTTTATACTGGCTGCCATAGTTATGATGAAATCTGTTGCAAAACTGGTATTATGTATATGTATTATGTATATTTTTCACAAGAATATTCCTTGATTTTAACCATTTTAAAGAAAGTGACATTATTCCTTGCCTGTTTTTTCAGGAATGAGTTATAAGGAGTTGGATGAGCGTTTGGAGAATGACCCTAACATTGTTGTTTGCTGGAAATAATGTTGCAGAGACAGAATTATAACTACAGACTATTTCAGTTAAAGAAATCATTTGTAACTTGAGAGAAACAGATCTGGTCCTGGTTCTTTGGCAGTCTCAGACTTTTTGTCCTGTACCTTTATTTATTGTAAATCACCCTTTATGTATTTTATATATATTTGAAACCATTATAGGTCAAAATATGAACACACAAATTGAAGAAAAAAAATAAAAATATTGCAATGATTTAAGATGCATAAATGCAAAAATGACTGTTTCTACATGAAAAACTAGGTCACTGGTTTTGAAATAATTTATGGTTTATTATATGGCTGGGTGTAGTGAGGTCTAATTCTATAGTATGTTTTACCACAGTTAAAAACATGCAAGTGTTCTTACTCAGAAAAAAACTGGAAAACATAGACAAGATGACCCTATTGATCTAAAATGCATGACTTTTAAAGTACCTTGTGCATTTACTGTTATATTAGGCTTAGAACAAAAATAAATTATAAACTGTCAAAAGTTTTTGCTTTTGCTTTTCTGATCATGTGTAAACTAGTTGCACAATATTTGATTACATTCCATTTAGGTCCATTTCTGTCACATCAGTTGCATCAAATATCATGACTGTCCAAAGACAATAAAAATGTATGGACATGGCAGAGCTGCACAAATATTTGATAACATCATTCCAATTAGGTCAATTTCTGTCACATCAGTTGCATCAAATATGGCTGTCCAAAGACAATAAAAATGTATGGACATGGCAGCGTTTGCACAATAGTCTTCTGAATTTTTTTTTTTACAGTCAGTCCCTTTCCCAGAATAGGTACATATTCCCAGAACACTCACCAACATGAACATTAAAATGTATAAACTGCTTATTTTGATAATGGCAAGAAGAGGAAATATCTTAACACAGCTGTCATTTTAACTTGTCAAATTTAATTTGTTAAATCATTTATTCTTTAACTATTCCTTTAAAATACCTTCCTATTATCTTAACCCACAGTTTACTGCCTGTTTATTGGAGACACTGAAAGGGTTTATTTTCTCTGAAGCAACCAAAACAAATCAAATAAAAACTTGATGTGACAGGGTTTTATTTGAAGTCGGAATGAGAGCTATTGCTATATACAAAATGGACAGAAACAAAACATCACATATATTCATAAATAGCTCTGTGCCATGTCTGACATTCTAGGTGTAAATGTACCAAATTCTCCTCTCTCCATCTCAGCTTGGAAAAAGATGGCTAAGATAACAAGTGGGCAAATATGCTAATCATCAAATTCATACAAGATAAGGGTACGAAAATGATGAGAGGACAAAAGTTGCAAAGAGAGACATCACACCAGTGAGGGCTGACAGCCCAAGGAACATTTAAAATCGGAGCCAGTACATAGCACCTCTCATTCTGTTATAATCTGGCACCTGCTCTATTGGACCTGCATAAAGAAAGAAACAATTGCAAGGTTACATAAATTCAGTTGTTAATACCAGTGAAATTTCATAATTCTTAATACCAATTTCAATACCACAGCATTAGGATAAATCTAGCAATTTCCAGGAAATTTACAATTTCCTTCCATTAAAGTCTGTTAGCAGAATTAATTATTGTACCAAATGTCTCCATAAATAAGCTGCAGCTAGATCCAGAAAATAAAACCATATTAGGTATGTTAATGATTAATCCCTGATCCACAGATGGGCTTAATTTGCTCATCTGCAATTAATTTCAGAACAAAAAACAGTTAAGTAATCATGAGAGCAGATGGTAAAAACACTACCTATACAGAGTCATCCGAAGCTAAAGTGAGCACTACAGCATGAGCACTGTATGACACTTTCCCCCAATTTCACAGGCTGCTTTAACCGAAAGAAACTTGCACTGACATATCTTAAATGTTAGTGTTATTGATTTGTCTCAAGATGCTCACCAGTAATGTTTTGTTTTTCTAAGGTACATTTATAAAAGATACTTAAATGTCCTAATTGAACTGTGGCCTAATCCTGGCTTAACCCAAGTCTTTATTTTGGTCAAACATGCACCCTTGGCTTTTAAAAGTGTGTTCTCAACATTATGTCATATAATCACTACACTGGTTACTAGTTAAATTCCTTAATTATGTGTCATGCTAATATAAAAGAGAATTCCACTAAATATTTATTCACTACAACACAAAATAATAAACACAAAGTGCATATTAAATATAAAAATAAACTGACTCACCAACTGCAGACACAGCTGGGCATTTGTCATAGATGTATTTAGAGCAGACATCCCGGACAATCTTGGGAGTCACAGCCTAGTAAGAAACAAATAAGCAAATAGGTATTCTTAAATGATGCGATTTCAATTTTTCCTTTCTCTTTGGAGTGTTACAAGCTCTTGGTGCATAAAGAAGATCTGTAAAGTTGCAAAGACTAAAGTCTCAAATCCAAAGAGATATTCTTTATAAAAGTTATGAGTCAGCCACACCTACCTAAAACGGCTTGTTCTAACACGCCCCCACATGTCTACGTCGCTATGTGGGAAGATTTGCATAACACCGCCCAAATGTTCACGCAAAGAAAGAAGGCGTAACTTTTATTCTCGCTGTAGTTTTGTTGTTGCCGCCGCCATGTCGTAAAGACGCTGTGTGCTTCGTTGTGAAAGCGAAACTACTTTGTTTGGTCTTCCAAAAGAGGACGGTATCTGCTTCGTCATGCCTGGAGCTGATCCGTGCTGGTTGCTGAGGAAATACTACAACTTTACGCTGTGGATCGCCGGATCGGCTTTCACCGTGGACGAAGCGGAGACCACATGTTGTCACATGTCCTTCCGGATGCTCCTTCGTCGAAATCGCCGGCCGCACAAAATGCCATCTCAAACAGTGGTCACTCAGCCACTGTGGGTTTGCTAACATGGACAACTTACCTCAATTCTGGCATCCCACTCTGCCAATGGGATGCGGCGACCATAATTTAGTATGTGCCTGCCAATGTCATCACAAACAGGTGTAGTTCCTGAGGACAGAAAGAAGAAACATGTTATAGAGTTAGAGTTTGTGTGTGTGTGTGTGTATATAGAAGCAGTCAATTTGGTCTGAGAGGTATTAAAGTCAATATTACAGCAAAAACATGTCTTACTGTCACTATAGTTTAAAGTAGAGGTGCATAAAATATCTGCAGCTGTCTGATGTACTATAGCACAACACCAGATACAATTAAGTGATGATCATAATCATATATTTTTCTCCAATATCTGCAAACATTGGTTGGTATGTAACCAAAAAAGAAGGCGCATTTAGCAAAGGTAAGTCACGTTGTGCTATGATGTTGTTTTTGGGCTTGTTTTAACCACGATCATCTGCTGGAAATAAAAATATTCTGTTTTAAAGACTTGGTGTCGAGTAGTAATAAGCGATTGCTTATTTATGAAAATATTATTACTCACATCAGAGGAGCACAATTAAGTCCAAACACTATGCAGATTAGATTTGGAAAATCTTCAAAGGTCAACATGAGATGCTAACTTGTTTAAAAACATATTAAAAGATTTTTTTTTCCTTTTTTTTTTTTACACACAAATACTTGCTTGTAGCTTAAATGACACTAATGTGCTTGTTGAATGACTACTAGGGATGGCCCAATAACACTTTTTTTTTAAATTTCCGATACAGATCTATATCTATTCCTCATATCATCAACTTATTATAAGACAAAAATATAAATTGTTAACAAGGCTACTTGTTGCAGCACTATAATTAACAGTAATTCCAGTGAAAATCAGAAAAATCAATGATTTCTTTCCTAGGACTATGACTAGGTTTTGATGCAAAGAGAGAAGGTATAGACTGTCTATAAGAGAAAGTATGTTTGAGTTTATTACCATTGAGCTGTCCCACTAAGCTAGCCTTCAAAGCATTCTTGGCTCGAGCCACATCACTCTCAGTCACTGTGGTGCACAAATTCATCCTATAATACAGAAACATTAAGAGGACATCACCTCAAATACAACTACAAAACATCAGATGACAATCCTATCTTCTCTGTATGCTATAGCTGAACTTACCAGGCATTCTGAGCCCAATGCATCATGTCCTCTATTTTATGTTTGTCTGTTACAAAATAAATACCCAGCAGTCCAGTGTCACTGTATGAAGAGTGGAAAGCCTGGAAACTGTGACACAGGTTCAGCTCTGCAGCCAGACGAGCCAGGCGACTGCTTAAGTGCTATATACAACATACAAGAAAAAAATTTTTTTTTTAAATTAGCATTATTTCATGGTCCTAATGCAACCACCATTTTACCTGATAAATTTCAATTTGTATCATGCTCAGCTAATTTACAAATTAAACCACTGTGTATGCATGGCAGTAACGTTTATACTAGGAATAGAAGGAAAAAATAACAATATAAATAATAATCATAATATCAACAGTGGCTATCATAAAAACTGACATAAGCAGTTGCCTTCAGATGCATTTCACTAGTCTAAAACACTAAATAAGATTGATTTTAAAACATCCTAAAGAAAACAACTAATCAATGTAGGAATGCACAATATATCAGTATGACATCAGTTATTTTTTATGGTACCAATATTTATGAAATCTACCAGTATTGGTCAATATTAGATATACATGGTGTATAATGATTTTTCCTATTTTTACCTTACCTTTGTTGTCTAAGACTCACTTAAAGTAAACCTTTAAAAACATAATTTTTATTACTATACATTAGAATGTTGTGATGCCCAAATTCCCCTTTTAGCATGTAAAACTTTAATTTTTGTTTTTAGTGTTTTATTTTTTAATTTATACAAAGTAGTATAGAACTTTAATATCAGCCACAATATTAAAATAATTATCAGTTGATAGTATCAGACATAAATATAATATCTGATATTTAATATGTAAATATTCTGCATCATGAACTCTTAAAGGGGTCCTATTGTGCTCTTTTACAAACTCTTAATTTTGTTTTGTTTTTTGTGAAAAACACATTATTTTTCACATATTTTACATTATTACAACACCTCTCTCCTCAGTCTGGCATGAATGGCTCGCATTGTAGTTTTTGAAAAGTGATTTCTGTTAAATAAAATATCTCCTTTTGAAGTGAAGTTGAACTAAAGTTGAAAAAGTGAAAAAGCATAATAGGACCCCTTTAATATTTAAATGGAATAAACAGATTAACATAGGAATCACAACTGTGGGACAATCACATGCCGATCATATCGGTGGTAGGGTTGTGACGGTGAGAAAATTTTCCCACCGGTTAATCAACGTGTGACAACACCGGTATCACCGTTGGGGTGGGGGGTGTTAGTTCGTTTGAGTTTCCCTCTTTTCTTCGCTTTCAAATGGCTTGTAAAAGTGCCATGCGCATTTTACTTTCACTTTCAAAGTGACGCAATTCGGCATCAAGCAATTGTTCGTTTGAGTTTTCCCTTGGATTTCTTGGCTTTCAAATAGCTTGAAAAATTTTACTTTCACTTTCAAAACTA